CTCACAGATCCAACTGAATCTACCTCGTGTTTTAATTAATAGATCTCATCGCACCACGCGCCTGGCGATTATTATAATTGCACTGATGATATTCGCGACACGCGAATAAAATAACATAACCTGTCATTTACACGTAGAATAGGACAGCCCGGGGCGCGCCCGCGGCCCGATCCTATCGCCGCCGACTGAATATCACCATAATGATAATACATCTTTGTCTCCAAACTTTAACTTTCAACACTTCGCACGCGTGTACCTATAAATAAACTTAAGATAAAACACATTACTCAGTCCTCGATGGCCACTAGATAAAACTAGCATTTAATATTAATTTTGCATAAATAATTCAGAATTTCGAAAAGGTATATCGGTAGAATATTTGAAAAGTTAAGTTTCGTTATTTTATTTTGAATTTAACGCTTTCTTAACACGTAATATAATAAGTTCATTGCTTTTAAAGTAATGACAATAAATATTTATTTATGATTCTATACGTGCCTACTTAGGTGTGTCAATGCGAAAAATATTACACCACTTATTAGGCGCTTGTTCATAAAATAGTTCATTTACACTTTTGTTTCTTAATAGGTACAACTTACCGAGTCTGTAGGTTTCTGTCTGTTTATTTTATGGTGCAATATAAAAAGCAAATAATTTTAGAATTCGTAAATAGCAAACAAGTTCGTAAAAATATGTGTATATTGTCTAATTATTGTGAAAGAAGAATGAGTATCTGATATTTATTCGCACTGCCCGGGGAGGTGCACTTATCTTCACCTTATTTTTTCACAATTTCCTCAAGTGTTCACAATAACCTCATTTAAATGCGCATGACATGAACCTTGACCATTAGGTTTTGACTTTTAATTATTACCTTCAGCCAATTGAGCGACATGCTTCCCATGTAGTGCAGGTGAACCATAAAGTAGAGCCTATAGTTTATTTCCTATCTTGACATTTGGTAGGTACCTAACTATTTGTTGCGTAGAATACAGTAGATGTACTCATTCACATATTATTGTGCCTACTTTGGGGAAACAAATACGCAGTTGTGTTCATTGACACGAATCTCGCAAGGCCAGGTGGAGGAAGTCAACAAAACTGTGATAAATATAATTCCTTTGCTTAAATTGGTTCGATAAATACGGAACGTACGTACGGACTTTTAATCATGAGTTTTGAACGGAAATTATTCGTGATCTTTATGTAATTCAGGCGTAGGTACTTTAGCGCAGATGCCTAAGGTAAAGTCAAATAAAGATTGGTTAATGAATTTAGTTTTTAGTTAAAATTATAAATAGTAACATAGAGCACAAGTACCTATACATTTACACGTTGAATTTGTTACGTTTTATACATACTTAATAATTGTTGGTGAGATTAAGAACCTAGTGTTTCATGGACACATGTGCTGTTACTATAATAATAACGAATATATTGAAAATATGGTTATCCGGGTTGTTTGTCCGTTATCTAGCATCACCACAGAACACGCTTGAATAAGTTTAACGCAAGGCATAGTGTGATATTTTGAATATTAATAACTTAAAGAATACCTGCTACCATATCAAAAAAAGACAAAAACATTATAAGGCATCTGCCATCGAATATTCTTGTTTACATGCCGTTATAATGCAATAAAGTATTACTTAGCTAATTTATTTTTTCAAACATTATTTATCAAACATCGAACACAGATAGAAACATCAAAAATCGACTGGTTATTTCCAGATTATGATTTCTTGACATATTTATGAATGATGCAAATGAAGTGACGCGCCGCACAATAGCGAAGGTCGAAAAAGTCCTGATAATTTGGTAGCCTGATCGTTTGGTGGTTCTAATAGAACCCAATCTTGTTGGTAAATAAGATATGATTAAAATCTAAAGAAATACAGATGTTTATCTGAGTTATAATGACATAATTTCACTTTGCGATTACTGTTACAAAATCAAAACCATTTTCGGCATCAAAATATAAACACGATAATAAACTACATCTTAACATACAGTTACATAGAATAATAATAATACATGTAAATAGAAACGAATATTGTATGTTGATTTCTGTATTTGATAGCTAATCCCAATAACAAAATTAAAATTTAATGTCATCAACAATAGGTAGAGTCACGCAAACTTTTTTCTAAAAGCTTAGTTGACTTAATGATCATGATCATTCTGAGTAAATATAAATAATACATAACCTATTTAAACTTGAGGCATAGCTTAAGGTTAACGTACCATAATATACTATAAGTAACTATCAAGATTATCTTCGTCAATAAGTATACCGTAATGATCGTAATAGAGTACGCAATAATTCGGATAAGACGTAACATTATAACTGTCTTAGAATTACATTACGTAGGTATTCAGTACATTTACTGGCTCAATATTAGCCTAGCTACATCTTTCAAACATCCAAATAACTGAAAATTCAAAAGGAATACATTTTACACAGAAAACTTAGTGGAAATTGTAACTTATTCAGTTTACTTTGATTTCATTATTATTACTGGTTTTTGGCAAAATACTCTTAACTTGCAATATAAATGAAGTTAGGTAATTTTATTTCAAAGTGTAGTGTTTAATCACGTTAGCTTTATACCTCTTCTGGGCACAGTCTTATAAAAAGGTTTTTCGATCGCTAAACCCTACGCGTTCCAAACCACAAGTACTTACAGTTTGTAATATTTTTAGGTTTGGCCAATATTTTTTAAATTAGGCTTACATCAGTTACATCAGATCTATTTTACATATAATGGTCGATTTACTTTTGTTACATTTGTAACGTTCGCCTGAAATATGTAGTAACTAATACTTACTTTATCAGCATACATCAGTTTGACTACGCATTGAACGCAAAACATTAATCACAATTATTTCCTCTATAAACAAATAATAGTAAGTAGAGTACTTTATCTAAGCAGGAAAACTTCGAGTAAGTATTCCTAGGGCAACATAGGAAAATTTTGGGTAGTAGCAGCTCAAGTCAAGGTTGACATTATAAATACTTTTGTACCTATTCGTACATTTGTACCACACGGTTTAAATTAATCCTAAGTCGGTAAAATATGGAAATTTTTAACATCAAAATTTTTTTTCTAAATTGTTAAATATTATCAATACACTGGTAATGTGTCAATGCAATTGAGGAGCTAAATATTGAGTTATTGTGTTCATAAAAAACCTACTGTATATCTCGCAACTGTAATTGAACTAAATTAATACCGACATTTTATATTTACACCTATTTCAGTTATCTTTTTCTTTTCTTGATTGATTGAACTGAATTTCTAATGTTTAAAAGATATTAGTGGAAAACTACAATTATATTCTTATCCCAACTAATATTATAAATGCGAAAGTAACTCTGTCTGTCTGTCTGTCTGTCTGTCTGTCTGTTACGCTTTCCCGCTTAAACCTCGAAACCGATTTTGATGAAATTTGGCATAGAGATAGTTTGAGTCCCGGGAAAGAACATAGGATAGTTTTTATCTCGGTTTTTGAAACAGGGACGCGCGCGATAAAGTTTTTCTGTGACAGACAAAATTCCACGCGGGCGAAGCCGCGGGCGGAAAGCTAGTTCGATATAAAAATGGGTTTGATTTATGTTGAAACAATGATGAATTAAGTTTTATTAAGTAGGACTGTTTGCCTCAGTATTAATGTTGAAGAATATCGTAATGAAAAATTTATTAAACATTAGGTGCGTAGACATGCAAAAATAATCAAGCTGTATTTTATACACCCATAATCAGAAAAATTAATTTTAATGGAATCTAGGCCTAACCACCATCAGCACATTAAGTAAATCCATACAAGATAAAGAATTGGTAAAAAGTTATAATTAAGCGCAACAAATGTTAAGATAAAGCTCATAGCATCTTTTATTATTAAAACGTACAAGTTCAAAACGTTTCCTACTAATACTTATATTATTAAAATCGGTAAAGCCGCCGCGTTTTCAGTCAGCTCTCATTATGTTTTTGTTGAAATGATTTCAAATTTAATTGTTTTTAATTTCAAGAACATGTCCAATCTAATAAGACATGCAAACACTTTTTCGCTAAAGTGATTCCTGTTGAAGCCTTCTAATTGATTCGATAATTAAGCTAAGGCGATCGGCTGTAACCGACACCAATTAGGAACCCATCAGAACCCAGTGACAGTTTACAATCAGCAAGTCTAGAAAATCGTTGAGTAAAACGTTTATTAATTGCTTCTACCTATTGTTCAGGAATTGATAAAGTATTGGATTTATTTCACTGATTTCCGTGAGCATAATAATAATAATAACAAAAATAGGTAGGCTTCTTTGGCAGGTTTAACTTTGCTCATGAGATTTGTTGTAACTTTTTACTTTATTATTATGATCCTTTCATGAATAGGTATAACATTCAATTTTAGATCAGACATCAGATAGGCTTTAGATCCACGCGGGTAAAGCGGCGAGCTTTCTTCATAATTTATTATTGAAATTGATCCTTAAGTTTGTGTTTTCCAAAAAAGCTTTTAGATATAAAATCTATGACATATATTTTGTATTTCTTAATTGTATGAATGTATTCCGTAATTCCGCAATTTTTTTATTTTTAAGGGGCTGCCATGGAGTCTTTGGCTACTATTATGATTAGAAAACATTAAATATACCTAATCCATTTCAGTTTTGAAAGTATCAATGCTGAAAGAAAGCTAGAATAATCATTTTAGTACCGATTTCCCATATTTTTCGTTATCTTAAGGGATGTAATTGTTGAATAGGTATCACCTTAAAATCGCTCGCAAGCGTTTTTAATCTGATGTAACTATTTTTATTATTCCTAGATGAAAAGATCGCATTTTCGAGCTGACTTACTTTAACAACGTAGATAAATTACACTTGAAAGGGGTTCAAACATAGTTAAACACTTTCATACAGTAAAGGAACAAGCGGAGCCTGAAATCACACTTCACTTCATTGTCGGCAAGCTCCCGAAGCCGGAGCTGTGTCTCACCTTCATCTCGGCGGTGTCGCCTGCGCGTCGGCACTAGGCTCGCCGGCCCAGATCAACACCCGCGGGCCCCGGCGGCGCCCGCATTGACACTCACTAGCACTCGGCTCGCTCGCCCGCGCGGCTGCTCCCGGCGGCAGTTGGCTCAGCACTGCCGCAGCGGGCCCCAGGAGGCGGGCCCCGGCCCCCGCCGCGAGCTCATTGGCTACGCGCGCTAGGCGGGCCCACGGCAGACCCACACCTATGTAAAGTTCGATTAAAAAGTAGCGGAATTATCGCTAGGTACGCTTTTAAACGGTTTAAAGTCGCGTGACGTATCGGATTTTCAATTGGAGCCATCGATGCGTCGACTGTGGTCTCAAACTGGTTGGAGACGAGGCGAGTTTCGATGATGCCTTATTTGCACTAAAGCATACCATTTTGAATACTGACAGGCCACACACTCGGCTGCGAGGATCGTTTAATGATGTGTCGAGGTTTGAATTGTACTATAAAAATAAAAAGAAATTAGTTCAACTGCGAGTTGTATTTGCGTGCAGAGGATTCCGTAGAATGCTCTTAGCCAAACATTTTATTAAAAAAGAACAAAAAGTAACGAAATAAATATTTTCATAGCCTAGTATTCATTCTTAACATATTTTTCCATGTTTTTTTATCTCGGTAAATAATGTTTAATACGCTATGTCCTTTGTCCTCTAAGCTAATTGATATATCTATTTACATAATCCACTTACTTTTCATCAAAAGAGACTGAATTAAAATTAAAAGTATAGTTCTATAAAATACACAGACGCATGAATAATTTTAACGCCTAAAAGTTGCAAGGAACCATAATAATATAGGCATGCTATTTGTCACGGAAATAGTATAAGTAGGTACTCGTAGAATAATTGTTTAACCGACTTGTAACTTAAAATGAACTAAGTAGAACTCTATCTTATATTTAAAAAAAACTAGCCCGGCCTATTTCCATAATTATTGTTCCATAATGTTACATGAGCTATTTTACACAACGTTCATTACACAAACAAAGAATTCACGAATAGTTATAAGGCCACTTACCACCAGCTACTTACTCGTATGTTCGTGGTAAGGCCATTGAATGTATAATTTAGGTATTCCAACAGCTTGTATAAAAACGTTTTACACCTACATTGTAGGTTTAATGAAAATTCTTACTAACAGGCAAATTAATATCCTCATTCAAGTGTAATTTTATTAGATTTAAAAAAAACCGTTATTACTTTCTTTACTTAAAAAAAAAGAACTAAAGAATGTAAAGACACTTTGATAAAACAATTAAATAAGTAGATCAAACAGACATTTTGAGTAAGTATGCACATAAATCTAACATTGTTACCTATGTTTCACTAATAAATATTTTGGTTTGATTTGAGAGATCAGTTCTTCTGTAATCTTTTTCCAGAAGTCTAACTCAACAAGAAAGTAATTTAAGCATAAAATACTATTAACTATAGTAATGAGTGTAAAAATGTGTACAAAAATAGTAAGTAGCGAGATCTATCTCTCTTTTATAGCAAGTTCTAGCCAATTCATAGGCCAGTGTAAAAGTCCTACTTAAAATCAAACAAACTATTGGAACGAAACACGACATTCTCCTAAAACCATCTAGATATTGAGAAGCCATAACACATGCCACAAAACTTCATCGTCATCAGGTCATAGTGTCCACTGTAGGAAGACGTAATATTAATTAAATTCAAATCAACTTGGCAGATCTTAAATGGATCCATGCATGAGTACCTATAGTATCAGTTAGTATGAAAATTTATCAAACATTATTTGATTTCAAAGGTATCCAAAGTACTGAAAACAATTTAAAATTAACGGCTTTTACTTTTTCATTACGGTCGGTTTACAATAATTTTGACTCTACTGTCCATTGTTGTTCTTTATTATTGCTTTATCATTGTTCACCCGTCTTTCCGAGAGGTTTCTTTAATAAACGAAAGTAAAAAGCTATTTACGTCAAATTACGTAAAATCTTAAAAAAATAAAACCCACATTCATTTTAACAAAGCCATCTCGTACTGACAAACACTGAGGTTCCATACCTCAATATTGTCTACCAATTCTATATTTCGTTTAAAACGGGCTATTATAGAATAGCAATATTTTTTCTTGAGACGCTACTAATGCACTGTTTTTTTCTGTCATTTCATAAGTCAGGACTCATAATTCATTATTAAGCTAGACAGGTTACTATTGATTTATGATTTACTTATTTTTGATATGTGTTAACTTTCTGTTTCTAATTAGTGGTCCAGCATAACTTTCATAAGTATAGCTTTAATATAATAATTGGGCGTTTCTAATTGTATTTTAGCAACTGTAACATAAATTATTAATAAATCGCTATAAAAATAATTCGTTACGTTTAAATTTGGTAAAATTAATTAATTGAACATTAATTAATATTAGTTAGAACTTGGAAAATCTGAACAATGGATAACACGGCTGTTCGTATGAGCTTGGATCTTGAGTAAAATTATTTGTGCAATGTTTTCGTTCTTCTAACAGAATTTGTTCATTTGTTTTAAATTATTGCTCATAAATGCTTCAACATGCCTTAAATACTATTTTTGTTAATATGGGTAAACTCTTTGTAATGATCTTTAGGTGGTTCTTTAATGTAATTACACTAATGCAATGAAATTATTCAAACCATTTTAACATGTGTGAAGTCGCGAGCACAGTTTTTTTTTTTTTTTTTTTTCAATATAAAGTTAGTTCATAATTGATCTTAACTGCCCTGTGTTCGCTTTATCATTGGCATCAATATCCTTTCAGCTTGAGACCAGATGCAGGTTGCTCCTTGTTTTTGAAATAACATCTACATTTGTAGGTAGGATCAAAAAGTTTATGTTGCTTAATACCTAACACCATTAAATAAACATATTTTTGGCCAAATCAAGAAACATGTAGAGAAACTTAAATGTTGCTCTGAATAACTCAAATCAGCAACTCTTTTGACTTGCACTTAAGTGTCTTTTTAACCAACTTTTGAGTGACTTATGACGAATGGTAACAGTTTTACAATCAAATCATTTTTTTTTAAATAGACTTTTGCTGCCAGCAACAAGCACTTGTCACCCTTCAAACCAGACCACTGGCATTAATTTTAAATGGTATACCTACAATCGGAGTATTTATATAACCTTTGTCCGTCGAAGCTGTAGACTACGGTGTGTACGGCACAGACAGCGCATCTTGCAGCCACTCTGCAAAGAGGACCACTTTCGGTGCAATTATCAGCTTGTGGTGGATTATCGCGGAAAGAGCTTGATGACGTCGTTGCACGTGACCCATTTTACGACTACCCTCGGCCTCGCTAAAGCCCCTCGAAAGACGATGAAAGGCTTAAGCCCTGTTGTGACTTTCGCATCACAGTTACGTATAATTATGTCAAACTGTACGATACATATCTAAGTCCGTTTATTGTCTTTAAACGAGATATAAAAAAGCAATAGAGTGAACTCTAGGTATACAATAGTTTTACACTTTAAAAATCTAATTGTGGTTTGCGAAACCAAATTGATGTCTACGAGTATGTGTTTACTTTTTTGCAATCAAAAATGGATTAGCGAACTAAACAAAAAAACGCGTGATTAAGAATAATGTGGTGCAAGGGTATTGGAAAAGTATCACAAAATATTATAAGAAATCCTTTGTAGTTTAATATGGTTATTACCTAAATCAACGCTTGCATGGGCATAACAGTGGCAAATGCCTATAAATAATGACAAGACTGCGCAGTTTCAGGCGAACCCCGCAGGCGCCGCCGGACGCCGGAACTCGCGCCAGCAACTTCCGAGGGCAGCTTCCGGCTCCGCCATCGCACTTTTAATTCCACTTTTGAAATCATATTTTTTATTCAGGCTCATCATCGGCTCCGGACGCCGGAAAGATCGGTTCGCTTCGTTATTCAGTGCAAATCGGGAATTTGCAATTCCGATTGGGATGGAGGGACGCGCCCCTCTTAATTTATGCCAAGTAGCTACGGCGGATCCAAATTATTGTTCGCTACACAAACAGATAGCAATCAGGGCTCTGTTCTACGCTCGCCGTTTGTGCACAAAATGTACGGGGAGTTTTCACCCCCATTTATGTATTTTGCAAATTTTGAGGCAATTTACGTTGTATATTAATTCGCATTGTGTTAATCCTTTTACGCGTAACGTTTGAAATGTACATTCAGTTCAGTTGTAGAAATAAGGATTTTAGACTGTTTTTAGTGTACTTTAAACTTAATTGACACAAGGAAAATATTAATAACCAGAATCGGAGTCAATACGTAATGTACTAAATAAACATGCTCGTAGTAGACCTAATTAAGTTAAAGTTTCAAGTCAAACGATAAACGTATTCGTATATCTAGTCAAATGCTAACTCAGTTTCAAGTGGAACATGTAACTTTTTGCTTTGACACTGACAACCGTGTTGATTGCAGTCCCTAAACTTACAAAATAATCTACCTCATCACACACATGAACACGAGTCATTTCAATTAGTCGCCGCACAATAGCGCCCACCTGATCGTTAGCGAGCGCGCATCAAAGGGCCCGGAAAATTAAACATCCAGCATAAAAACGGAAGGGTTAGAATAATTTATAATTTGCCGAAAAGAGCGGACAATAACAGATACAATCGCCCCCACGGGGACCCGCTAATTGTTTATCTAGATCCACACAAACCGTCAATGTAAAGAGATATGATCTTCTTTTAACCACTGCTGGTCGATCTTGTCACAGGTGCCGCAAAAGGTTATCCAATTTATTCACAGATACTGGGACTCATGTTTTTTGCTAACGTCCTTGCGTTAATACGCACTTATCATGACGTCAGTAATTAATTAACTATTAGTAAGATGTCTATCAGTTCGATTTTAACTTTACTAGTTAAGTACGGTTATTATCTGATCCTGATACCCACCGGTATCGTATCGGTGGACTTTCATGAGAATGATAGAAAAAATTAAGAGAGAAAGTTAATGAGTGATTTTTATTAAACATCTTTACATTTATAAGGTCATCTATGAGATATTTTTTTTCTCCATAGATCGTTGGTTGTTGAAACAGTAATTCTTATAGATATCTCTTTTGAACCCGTTATCCGT